GATATGATGCCCATGATAGAAGATGGAACATCATTACCTCAGAAGGGCTCCTCTGCAGCCAGGACTCCCAGAACTTTAGCACCGCTACCACTGGTCTCTTCTCTATTGCTATGGATTTGTTTTGCCTGTTAGATAGGATTTCTTATAAATTGAACCATACAGTGGCTTCACATTGCTGTATATATCAGTAGTTCCTGTTTATTACCGATATTCCACAGGTTTGTTTATTCCTAGTGGACACTGGGATTGTTTCTGGGTTTTGATTGTTATGAATAAAGTTGCTCTGAACACTCCTGTATACATGTTTGTGGTTCATGTTTCATTTTTCTTGGATAAATACGAAGGGAATTGATAGATTGAGTGGTAAATGTATACTTCACATGACACTGCTAAAGAAAGAAGCTATTAGGAAGCTGAACATGATGGTGCACACCTGGAGTCTTAGCACTTGGGCGACTGAGGCAGGAGGATTACTGCAAGTTTAAGACCAGCCTGGCCTGCATAGGGAGTTGACGGCCAGCCTGAACTACAGAGCAAGGCCCTGTCTCAAAAAACCAAAAAAAAGAAAGAAAATCGTATTACCTTCCACAATGTATGAGTGTTCCAGTTGTTCCATATTAGCAATAAAATTGTTAATTTCTAGATTATCTCCACAAAATTAAACAACAGTTTCTTGGAGTACAAAATCATCAATAATAAACGTTAAGGTCAGCCTGGGCAACTTAAGGAAGACCCTGTCTCAAAATGGTTTGAAAATATAGCTCAGTGGTAGAGTGCTTGCCTAGCATGCATGAGCCCCTGGGTTTAGTCACTAGCACTGCAAAAACAAAACAACAAGGAATTACCTGGTCCGGTGGCACACGCCTGGAGTCCCAGCACTTAGGAGGTTGAGCCAAGGATCACCACAAGTTCGAGGCCAGCCTGAGCTACATAGCCAGACCCTGTCTCAAAAAACCACTAAAAAGAAATAAAACTAGGGGCTGGGGATTTAGCTCAGTGTCACAGCGCCTGGCTGGCAAGCACAAGGTTGTAAGTTCGATTCCCAGTACCAAAAAAAATAAATAAAACTGGATTTCTGCCAAGCATTGTGGAGCACACCTATAATTGCAGAACTGGAGGCTGAAGCAGGAGAACTGGAAGTTTGGGTCCAGCCTGGGCAGCTTAGCAATTTAGTGAGAACTTGTCTCCAAAAAACTTGAAAAGAACTGAGGATGTAGCTGAGTCAAGTGCCTGGGTTCAGTCCCCAGTACTGTAACACACATACACAATGAGATATATATGTGTGCTGTCGAATGACTAAAACTTAACTTCTGCCTTGTGTGCCTCCTTGTCCAGTTTGGTTGATAAGTAGTTAAATTACTCTAAAATTTAAAACACCAAATCCTTTTTTCAGATTGGGAAGTGAACTTCTGTGAGTATTTCATTACTTCCTTTTTTTTTTCTTTTCCTTTTTAGCTACTCAGTATTTTAATTGCCTTCCTTTGTGAAAATTTCCCCATTTCTGCCATAAAGATCCGAGATTTACATTCTTCTAATTAATGTGAAGAAGGTTTAGATATTACCAGGGATAAAAGGGAAGTTTCTCCAACTCATAAAGGATATCCACTAAAAATCTACAAAAAATATCATTTAATAGCCAAATGTTAAAAGTATTGATAGCAAATTCAAGAATAAGGTGGGGTGTTTATTATTAAGCAGGGTCACATTAAAGGATATGTTCAATAAGACAAAATGAAATAATATAAAAGACAAAACATAATAAAATATCTACTAAGAAAATTCAAGGAGATGTATAATCATATATTAAAAATAGACCTGAAGTCTTATTGCATCAGTGAACATTTAGAAAAAATTTAAGAATTCCTTATGAGGGCAGTGAACCTGCAGGATGTTAAAAGAAATATATTAGTACAAACACTGACATTAGTGGTGAAAAGTAAGGTTTGCTAGATAAAAATTTGGAGGCAGAAGTGTTGGTCTGCAGTGTGAAAAGGCTGCCCTGGCTAAAAGACCATGTGGTGGCCCGTGGTCCTTTCCAGGCTCTTACTGTCCCATTCAAAAAATTGGACAGGACAACTGATCAATGTGAAAGTTTTAAAGTTTAAAAAAAAAAAGGTAAAGGAAGTACTTTGAAGGGAAAAGAAGATAGACCGTGCATGCAGTGTGGGTCACTGCAAGAATAGGGCGGTGGCCTCGAAGTAAGGGGCTGCCTCCTTTATATTTTCTTGTGCCATCAGATCCCAGCAGTGGGAAGCTGTTCTGCGCATGCATCCTTGCTGTGATTTGCCAACCCTGCATGATTCTCAGCTCACGCCCTCTTGTCCAGCCTCTTTGCCATGCCCTAATCTTCTGCCTCACCCTGACTTGTGAACCTCCTGTAAAAAGAACAGTGGGGCTATGAACAGATGGCTGCACTGTGGAAAATGTGTGAAAAGAACACTGTTCCTTTGTGATTGTAGTTGTTAGGAAAGTTGTGAAAGCCAGTGAAACCTGGTAACAGCTATATGCCTTACAGTAGCAATTTGCTAAACTAGCAAAAAGGGGGAAGAAATGACCCTTTGGGGACCTGCAGTTAGCCTTTCCTTAAAATTTTTCCTCTTGCCTGGTGTGGTGGTGCACGCCTATAATCCTAGCCCTCAGGAGGCTGAGGCAGGAGGATTACTACAAATTAGAGGCCAGCCTGGACTATATAATGAGACCCTGTCTTAAAAAAAAAAAAAAATCCTCTGGCAGCACGGTGTAATGGCCAAACATGCAGACTCTAGCTAGGCTGCCTGGTAAATCTTAAACCATGTGCCTGAGTTATTTCATCTGCAAGATGAAGATAACAATACCTAACTTGTTTGGACTGTTAACAGTGTTAAACCAAAATTCTTTGATTCAGGGTACCAATACACTGAGTATTGGTGGGAGTTGGGAAAATTTTCTCAAGAATTTTTTGACCTCAGGGTTAACACCTGTATGTCAAATATTCCGATGATGGGGCATACAGGTGACTGTCACATGAGCAGATTTTCAGTTCACCCCTTATTTTCTGCCCTTCATGCCATTGCTGTCTCTGTGCCTGGCAACCCAAGTCTGTCTGCTTCAGGGCTCTGCATAGGGTGGTGAGCCTCTCAGAGGTCACTAGGTTTCATGCTATGAAGTAAGGCACCAACTAGATTCCTGCAGCTTAATTCAACGCTGGCACTACCCAGAGTGTTGAAGCTCTGACAGGTTAAGGGCACAGCCTTTCCGTGCCAAAGGACCATCCCAGGTGAGCTTCCAGCTGCTACTTTTATCTTTCCGGGTAACTTGAGATCATTCTGAGGTGCTTCTCTGACACCTAGGGCTTCTTGAGGGTAAATCTTGCCTTCCTAATCTATCCTCCCTAAACTGAAAATTTGCAATTCAAATCACATTCATGTAGCTCCTAATTTGGTGTTTTCCCTGGTGCTGGGATCAAACTCAGGACCTTGCATGCTAGGCAAGTGCTCTGCCACGAAGCTACTCCCTTCTCCCCTCATTTGACTCTTTTTTTTTGGTTTCTTTTGTTTTTTTGGTTTTTCTTCTGGTACCAGGAATCGAACTCACGACCTTGCGCTTGCCAGGCAGGCGCTGTGCCGCTGAGCTAAATCCCCAGCCCCCTTGACTCTTAAACAATTATTTTAACCATTCTGCTTTTAAATTGTCCAGTTCTTAAACATGAATTGAAAATCAGGGATCACTACACACTTGGAGAAATCTGGTAATGGGAAAAATAAACATCAAGATAAGTGGTAATAACCGTGGAAGAAGTAGATAACTCAGCAGACAAAAGAGCTTAAACATTAGTATCACATGAGACATTCAAGAAGTTTGCATTGGGTGGAAAAAATTAAATGTGAAAATATGGAACAGAAAATAACTATGGGAAATCCTGAAATTTTACAACGTTGGAAAGCTGCAAAGTAAAAGAGGAAATCCAGAAAGTAGAGCAAAAACACTAAGAATATATGTGAGGAAAAAAAACATACGTTAACGATTACATTCCCACCTAACAAGTGAGAATACCCACCCCTAAAAAGGAAATTGGTAAAGAAATGATAGAAGATAACTTGGGAGGCTGAGGCAGGGGGAGCTCAATAAATTTGAGGTCCCCCCTGCTACATGGTAATGTCAAAGCCAGCCTAAACTATGTAATGAGACCCTGTCTCAAAACAAAACAAAAACCCTATACCTGGATACAATATTTGGAAATTTTATAACCCCAAAAATAAAAAAGAAGATCCTAAAAGATAAGAGAATAAAAGGCTGGGGATACAGCTCAGCGGCACAAGCGCCTGCCTGGCAAACACGAGGTCCTGAGTTTGATTCCCAGTACAAAAAATAAATAAATAAAATAATTTTTTGAAAAAAGATACCAGAATAGAAACTTGTCACCATCGAAGAAAAAGATACCAACAGCATAACAACCCATCTTCACCAACTTCAGAATAATATAGAGTCCACCAAAAAAAATGTAAACACTTCAGGAAAAGAAAAACTTGTGTCAATATTTTAGTACTAAATGTATTGAGACGTCATGGGATTAATACATTACTTTTTTACCTGTGGCCTCTACAATTATAAGAGGTGCTCTATGGCTGTGAGCTTCCGGACATTTCTTAGTACAGTGAACCGCTGCATGGGTAACCTTGGTCACTGAGATTGCTGCATGTGCATTGTCAATTTCTTCTCTAAGGGCTGGCAGTGCAGTGGGTTTCCTGCCATACACCCCCTAGGGTCCCCCATACGAGGGTAACACCGTCTGTGGAGAAAACACCATATTGTTTTGCTTTTCCTGGCGTGGGCATACGTTTGTTTGGTGGGCTCTATACTTCCTGTTGCAGGACTTGTCAGTCTCATTATTCCTTCTGAGTCCTGACTGACCGTGTACTCAGTACCCAGCGCTGGCCGGTGCTTCTCTAATGTGCCGTTTGTTTTCACTTTCAGTTCCTCAGGACAGACTCTGCTTCCCGTTCTAGGAGAGGCACAGGCCGTCTGCACTTGAGCCGTGTCCTCTCGTCCTCCTTTCTCTGGCCAGCACTCTCCCCCCACGGACCGGGACCTGGGGACATTCCATGGTAAGTAGGAACTCTTCTTCCACACCCTCCTCCCTCTCCTGCTCTTTTTTATTTTTCATCAGGGAAAGTATCTTTAATGATGTCAGCATGCAGAAGGGCAGGTTACCTACTGCAGGCTCTATTCAGCGACAGGAAGACAAGCATCGCCGTCGTGCATAGCCTGTTATGTCTGTCCCCAGGTGGGCGCCCCAAAAAGGAGCCAAGTGTGTTTTCACAAAGGCTCACGTGACACAAAAAAATATAAATATTCTACATTTAGTATTTTTAAACATTTTAAAAGACTAATAAAGCTGAATATGTAAGAAACATAAAACTGCTTACAGAAAAAAAGATTAAAGTGCTGGCAATGCATGGGACAAGTGCACCGGCACCATCAGGATGCGTTAAGATCTATAAAGCGAAACAGGGCATTGCGGATGCAGGCAGAGGACACGAATGGGCAAAGACCATAAATGCTCTGCGTCATGCATAGTTTTGAAAGTGAGTTTCAAAAGAGACATTTTCACAGTCCAGCATGGTCAGCACCCGTCCCACGGCCCAGCAGAGCTGTGGGAGTAGTGAGGCCGCCTTGGGCAGCCGCGCCCTGGCACCCGCACGCAGAGCACTGCTATGTCTGTGAATACAGCTGGCATGTGGAGTCACTGCCCTCCTGTGCGTGGGGACACTCCCTGGGCACCACTGCTGTACAGAGTGAGGCAGGTCAGCACAGACTCCTGGGTAGAGAGGCTCGGTAATGCCACCAGGGCCCTGCCCAGCAGTGCAGACGTGGGTCAGTCTCATGTTCTTCAGAGGATTCCGTGTGCACACAGAGGTGGGGATGCATGTGGCTGTTTCTCACTAGGGAGTGACAATACAAGCTTTGCTTTTTGACCTCATGTTTTAACTTTCCTCTGAGCTTCTAAAGTATCTGTAAGCAGAGAAGATATTCCAGCCTTTTACCAGTACAGAACAGGGCCCCATTTTTTGGTAAGAGCTACAGTTTCCTCCTGAGTGCTCCAAGGATCTGCCCTGGGTCAGGAAGTGACGGGGGCCCAGGCTCGACCCTACACAGAAGAGCACGTCTCCCTGAGTCCTAGTTCTCGCTGCGTGCAAGCCAGTGCCTCTGGCGTTGAAGGTCCCACCCCTGTGTGCACCCCCCTGCAGGAAGGCAGTGACCCTATCGTGTGGACCCCAAAGAGCCCCTGAAAGGGCAGAACAACTTCTCAGAAAATGATCTTGCTGCAGTTCACAACCCACACGAAAAGGCAAACGAGTTTCCTAACACTTGCTGCTTCAACAAGGCTGAGGGGGGCTGTCTAGGCAGTGGCTCTCACCGTCTTTCCTGGCTGCTCAGGAAGGCAGGGGGCCTGTCTGGCCAGCAAGTCCACACAGTTCACAGGAAGTGAGGGGGCTGCTCGGGCCCAGGGCCCTGTGGGGACCCCCTGACTCCAGTGGCCCAGGGGTTATAGCTGATGCTTCATCCCTTGCAAGAAAGCACTGGTCCTCTGGGTTTCTGTTCATGGGGGTTTCTGTGCAATACCAGCTTTTCTGTCTGTATTTGTTCTCTTGTTTCTCTCTTTGCACACAGCCTGGCAGGAAGGAAGGAGGACAGACCCTGGGGGTGACATAGACTTGAGTTTAAATCCCAGCTCTGGGACATACTTACTCTGTTGGTGTTAGTACCTGTAGTCAAAGAACATCAGACCTGGAAAGGGCCTCAGAAATCATCTTTTCAGGCCAAGGGAATAGCTCACCAGCACGGTGCCTGCCTGGCAAGCGTGAAGTCCTGAGCTTGATTCCTGGTACCAAAAAAAAGAAATCATCTTTTCTCCTGGGAAATGGCCTCAGGACCAGCAAAACTGGCCACCAAACTTAGTTACGTCTGAACAACACTGATCTCAGCTGGAGTGCTGCAAGTCTGTGCTTATTTATCTCTGGGGAGGCCTCACTGTTGTGTATTCACTGGCCAAAGTGCAATGAATGTGCTAACTCGTGGTGAAGGGGGTCCTGGCTAGGTGTGAGACAGACCAGGGCAGCCGGAATGAGCTTGCGGTTAGGGTTCACAATGCAGTGGTGTTACCTAAAGGTGAAGCTCATCTTGTGGGACTAAAAATGGCTCCCAGAAACTAAGCTGGGCCTGGTGTTTCCTCAGGCCAGCTGTGTGTCTTGACCTCTATGAAAGCCTTAGGCAAGTACTACAGAGTCTCATGAGTTTTTGCAATTGTCCAAGGTTGTGTCATCGCTGAAGATGGGACTGTGACTGGGATCACTGAAATAAATGTTTAGCTTTATAATTTAAGTGATATCTAGGGCTTTATTTGGAGGAAGAAATATTTCGCACTGTTGGTACCACGCTGGTTGCTAGTTTGAGTTCACATTTTGGACCTTATTTACTAGTTCAAGCTAGTTCACTCAAGTACTGCAATTCTTCCTGAGAGGAAGCATTTCTCAGTGGAACTTGAATGTGGTAGATCCAAAACCAGAGGAAATAGCTAAGTTAATTAAAAAAAGAATTCAAAGGAAGTTAGCCATGGATACTATGTCCTGGCTAGTAAGGACGAGTGTTCGGCTGACAGTCATGGCCAGTTCCTTCTGATGCTACCATTGTTGGTCTGATGGGAACTGGCCCCTCACCTGATAGGTGATTGCCCTAGACGCACTGCATGGAGAGACCCTCGTGAGATGAGAAAAGGAACTATTTACAAGCAAGATCACCTGTAGGTTGATGTCAAGTGCTTCCTGAGGAACCACTGCTACAATGAGCTTATCAGAGATAATGGAGCTCTTTCGTTTTGATTAGGTACCGTCACATGTAGCTTCAAGTGAAAGGGCATGCTTGGTCTTAACATAGACCTTCAATTCATGGCAGCTTTTGCAGAAGTGCAGGTCATGGGCAAACCCAAATTGGATGAGCTGGGTAACATTCTAGGAGTAGGAAATCTATCTCATAGGGGAAAACATCAACTCTCCCTGTAACAGAGGTGGCTGAAATGTGAATGCAAACAAAGACCTTTGGACTGATTACATCATGCTACTAAGGGCCCTGATTTCACACCTTTGACCTCAGAGACACTACAACGGCACACGTCCAACTGCTGGAACTCCACGTGTGCCTCACGCGCTGGGAGAAGTGTTGAGGAGCTGCTGCCAGTGGGCCCGCCCATTTGCTCCCGAGGGTGTAAGAAGATCAGTATTGTTCCTAAGAAAGGAAACAATGTAAATAAAAGAGACCTAAAAATCTCAGGACTAGTGAGGCAGGTGGAAATGCTCCGACGGATAATTAGAATGGCATGATAGGGCTGGGTGTGGCTTAGTGGTGGAGCATTTTCCTAGCAGGTGCAACGCCCTGGCATCTGCCCCATCACAGCAAAATCAAACAAGGAAATAACATGAAAAAGGAAGGAAACAGGGCTGCAGCGAAATGTTACCGTATCAGTGTAAGGTGATTTATACAGCACGATGATGAGGAACCTTTTATTTTTTAAATAGTAAATTTTATTTTATTTTATGAGGAAAATTCAAAACAAAATAATAGGAGAATAACAATAGTTAATATGTTGGTATTGTTATCTTCAACGTAGTTACTCAGAGTACAAGATATGGGCATAAAATATTCTCCAAACAATATTAGCACAAGCCTTTCCTTTCAGTGAACTAACAGAAACTAGTAGTTTCACTGTCTTGTAATTTTTCTTCCCTTTTCCCTTTCTTCCTTTCCCCTTCCCCCCACTCTAGTTCTTCTTTCCTTTTAAACAGTTTTTTCTCATTTCACAATATCTATTGTACATGTTGGACCTTATTTACTTGTTCAGATTCTTATACTAGAGAGACAATACGATGTTTACACATGCGAGTCTGGTTAATTTCACTTATGAATATGATCTCTAGTTGCATCCATTTACCTATAAAAGTCTCAAGTTTATCCTTCTTTATAGCTGAGTAGTACTCCATTGTATAAAAAGACCATATCTTTTTTATCTATTCCTTGGTTGCTGGGCATTTAGGTTATTTCCAAGATTTAGCTATTACAAACTGTGCTGCTATAAACATGGGCACACATATATCCCTGTGGTACGATGTTTTCAATTCTTTCGGGAAGATACCTCAAAGGGGAACAGCTGAGTCAAATGGGACCTCTAATCCTAGTTTTCTGAGGAATCTTACCCCACAAATTTCCACAGTGGTTGCACCAGTCTACCCTCCCAATAGTGGAGAAGGGTTCTTTTTTCCCCACAGCCTCTCCAGCATTTGTTATTGGTGATTTCTTGATGACAGCTGCTTTTTCTGGAATGAGATGGAATCTCAGCGTTATTTTAATTTGAATGATGAACCTTTTAAAGATGAGCTTCAAACTGCAACACAAGCTGGGCGTGGTGGCACACACCTGGAATCCCAGCACTCAGGAGGCAGAGGCAGGAGGATCACCTTGAGTTGAGTCCAGCCCGGGCTACCTAGTGAGTTCAAGGCCAGCCTGAAGTACACAGAGACCCTGTCTCAAGAAAAAAACAAAACAAACAACAGCAACAGAAGCAAAGTGCAACCCAAAACCCATTTGTTTATCACAAAGTACCAACACTGCAATTAAATCTGAATACTGAGGTTTTAGTTTAGGAAAAACAACGTATACACTAATATCTTTTGTCTTAAAAGAAAAACACAGTAACAAGCATGCCATAGGTTTACCACCACTGATATAGTGGTTAGGTAGTCTGTCTGCTCCACCAACTCCTCAAACCATCCAGGGGCTGGGGATTTAGCTCAGCGGCAAAGGGCCTGCCTGGCAAGTGCAAGGTCATGAGTTCGGTTCCCGGTACCGGAGAAAAAAAAAAAAAAAAAAACAAACCCATCCAAAGACCACAATAGATTTCTAATTTTATTAGCAAATAAGCAAACCCGTAATGACACGAAAATCAAAACTACAGTCCCTTTAAAGCAAATTGCTGTGAAGAACAGGCTGGCAAGTTCTGGTGCTGCCCCCGCCGGGGGCCTGAAGACCTTTGTATTGGCAAAGATAAAATGGCCCAGAGGTGGTGAAAAGCCTCCCTGGCATTGTGGGACCGGGAAGCATAGCGTGTTGTTATGTGCAGGCCTGCTCATGAGACGTTACGGGGCAGTGATTCACTTGAGTGTGATGCGACAGTGCAGCTGTGGCTGAGACCGCGGTGTTTCTACAGAAACACACACTCAGTGCACAGTGTAAACAACCAGTGTTCATGAACAGAGAGGCAGAATGTGACAGAGCCGCAGCACAGAGCCATGTTTGACAACGAAAACGAATGTGAGGTACTAATACGTATTGCAACGTGGCTGAACCTTAAAATCACACTAAGGAGTGTGCCTAGACGTCAAAGACCATATATTATGTGATTCATATGAAACGTGGGCAATGGGTATATCTCTTCTGTTGTTGTTGTTGTTTTTTGAGACAGGGTCTGTCATGCAGTTCAGGCTGGCCTTGAACTTATTCATTATGTAGACCACACTGGCCTTTAACTTGCGGTGATCCTCCTCCTGCCTCAGCCCCCTCAGCACTGAGATCACAAGTGTGTGCCATCACGTGTGGCTCAGAATAAATATATCTCTACAGAGAGAGTAAAGTAGTCCTTGCCAGGGCTGGATGGGTTAGGAGAAATGGGAAGCTACTGCTAACGGTTACAGTGTTTCTTTTCGGGGCGATAAGACTGTTTAAAATTGATTGTGGTGATGACTACACAAGTCTCTATATTCGGATCTATTAAGCAATACATTTCAAATGGGTGATTCATGGTGTGTTGATTATATCTCAGTAAAGCTGTAGTTTAAAAAGTAGGGAGGGACTCAAAGTGGGAAGTTCTAACAGAAAATTGTACATAAGTGTTGACATATTGTTAGAATGGATGTGGTATCTGAATGGACATATCCCTTGCCCAACCCTTTAAGGAAAGAGATTTCATGACAATCTGGTCTTCATCTGATTTTAATGAATGATGCAAGATGGGAATCTTTTTGTTTGTTGGTTGGTTTTTGTTTTTGTCTTTTTTGACAAAGGGTCTCACTGTGTAGTCCAGGCTGGCCTGCAACTTGCATCAGTCCTCCTGCCTCAGCCTTTCCAGTGCTGGGATTACAGGTGTGTGCTACCATACCCAGCCAGGAACCTTTAAAATTACCTCAGTCTACCCAAGTATGTATTTAATTTGAAACAGTACAAGATATTTGAGAAACATCCAAGAGATTCAGCCCTTATTAAGGACATGGTAGATGCAGATGTTCTAGAGATGATGAACTCTTCATTAAAAATTTTGGTAGGAGCTGGGGGTGATAGTGTGCACCTGGGGTGGGGATATAGCTCAGCGGCACAGCACCTGCCTGGCCTAGAGAGTGCACACCTGTGATCCCAGCACTCTGAGAGGCTGAGGCAGGGGGATCACAGGTTCAAAGCTGGCCTGGTCAACTTAGCCACCTAGCAAGATCCTATCTCAAAATAAAATTTAAAAAGGGCTTGGATGGTAGCTCAATGCAAGCACCCTGGTTCAGTCCCCAGTACCACCCAAAACACACCAAGAAAACAAAAAGCATGTGACTGACTCAGTAATTATTCTTTTGGAAATGTATCTTGGGGAAATAAAGACTAAGAACAAAGACTTTGTTCTAAGCATATTGAACTGTTTATGATAAGAAAAATGGCAATAGCCTAAGTGTCCTACATTAAGTGAAGCCATTAAAAGGTACAAGGAGATATATATTTATCAATGTGATATTTTATAATTTTTGGTTAGGGAAGTAGTTTGTAAAATGTAATGCATAGCACCTGTAGCCATAATTATGCTGGGGCCTCCCAAGCTTGGGCACAGAGGACCACAACTTGGAAATGAACACAATTAGAACAAGGATTTTTAAAAACGAGTAATTTCATCAAACCGTTGCTGTGAGGCACCTGCTTGTGCGGATGTCCGTCCTTGACACAAATGCTAACCACGCGATGGCGGGCCTGATGGGGGGCTCTGCAGCACTTGCACGGCCGGACCCTCAGTGCTCAGCAGGGCACTCACCGCACAAGCAGGTGCTCAGCAAGTGTGTGTGACGGAGAAAGCTTTCTTTTTTTTTTTGTACCAGGAATCGAACTCAGGGCCTTGTACTTGCCAGGAAGGTGCTGCACCGCCAAGCTATATCCCTGGTTGGAGAAAGCTTTCTGATGTACAGAGCTGCTTCTTTGCCTTGGAAATTTAGGCATTTCTTCAGTTTCTGCCTTCTTCAGACAGTGAGGAAATGCTTTTTATAATATAAGTGTTATTGTAACCAATCAACCTTTTCCTCTTTTTTTTTTTTTTTTTTTTTCAGAAAATGACCACCCAGGAGGAGGCTGAGGAGAAGATTTCCCAGTTTGATTATGCCTTGGCCTCAGAATTGTCCTCTCTCCTGGGCATAGACGCCATGGCATTTATGAAGGAGAAAGAGGAGGAAGAGCACAGAGACCGTGCGAAAATGAAGAAAGGCTTCAACTCTCGAATGCGCAGCGAAGCCAACCGTTTGAGGACCTTTGTAACCTACAAGACCTACAGCTCGTGGACCCCGCAGGACATGGCAGCAGCTGGCTTTTACTTCACTGGGGTGAAGTCAGGGGTCCAGTGCTTCTGCTGCAGCTTAATTCTCTTCGGCACCAGCACCAGGAGGGTCCCAGTGGAGAGCCACAAGGAGTTCCGCCCGGGCTGCGGGTTCCTTCTGGGCAGAGATGTCGGTAACATCGGCAAGTATGATGTGCGGGTCAGGACGCCCGAGAAGGAGCCGAGCGGGGTCCGAGCGAGGTACGGACAGGAGGAGGCCAGGCTCGAGTCCTTCCGGGACTGGCCCTTCTATGTCCAGGCAGTGTCCCCAAAGGTGCTCGCAGCTGCCGGCTTCATCTTTACAGGTAACTTGATATCATCTCCTAAAGCTTCTCTCAAGTTTTAACTTGTGGTTCCATACTTTGGTTGCTTTTGAACTGCTTTGTGAATCTTTCATTACTTGTTAAATGTGTTGTGTTAGATGAAAATCTATTTTATTAAAATTCTACTTCAAGCAGGGTATGGTGGTACATGCTTATAATCCCAACACTTAGGAGGCTGAGGCAGGAGGGTTGCCCAGAGTTCAAGGCCAACCTGGATTACATAGCAAGACCCTATCAAAAAAAAACAAAACAAACAAACAGAAAAGCCCAAAATTCCACTTCAGTAATTTTTCTTTGATTTATGTTTTGTGTACCTTGTGTTAATTCGTCAACTCTATACAAAACCAAAAGACTGTGTTTCCATAAATATGGACCTTAGATGATACAGGCTGTATTCTTAAGGCCCTGATGCGGTTTGATCTCTCTCCTCCTGCATGAGTATCTCTTCACTGCTCTCCCGTAAGCTTTCTGATTTGTAAAATTTCTACAGTTTTTGAGGGGTTTTTTGGTTTGTTTGTTTAAGTCTGCCATAGAGGGTGACTTACACTTCAGAACGTGCCACTTGGCAAGTATGGTGGTCTTAGCCACCGCACAGATGCTGGCAAATGACAAGGAGACTTGTAGGAACCACTGTCCTTTACTGAGCCCTACCTCGTGCACGTGGGCGAACGCCATTTCTGCGCCAGCCCGTTTGCCCCTTTTCTTCCCATTTCACAGCTGTTTTCATCGAGGAAAGACTTTAAGAAATGAGCCTGCATTTTACAGAACCAGCACCAAGGTCCCTTCCAGGGACCTGCTGGCCGCACCCTCATCTCCCTGTCCTGGGCGGGCGGAGAGCGGAGCCCGGTTCTGGAGGGCACCGGTCAGAGCGGAGTTGCGTGGCTGGGTGCCCAAAGAGCCAGGTGCCTCGTGAGGCCCTCTGTGCATAGGCTGGAGTTCGCGGGGGGGTGGGCGGCAGGGCTGGCTGGGGTCACCCAGCACTCCTGAAGAACAGCGCGTGGGGCAGTTTGTATTCCCAGAGTGAGGAGAGCTCTCCCTACTCCGGGAATCCCTCAGGGCCACTGCTGGGCAGTGAGCCCTTGTCCTGTGTCCACAGGTAAGAGGGACACCGTGCAGTGCTTCTCCTGCGGCGGATGCTTAGGAAACTGGGAGGAAGGAGACGACCCTTGGCAGGAACACGCCAAGTGGTTTCCCAAGTAAGTGCTTAAGTGCTTTCTGCTAACACCACTTGAGTGTTATGTTGTGTTTTGTTTTGTTTGCTTTGCTTTACTTTGCTTTGCTTTGCTTTGTCTGGCAGTGCTGGGCTTGAACCCAGGGATGCTGTCCCACTGAGCTCCACCCCAGCCCTTTTTATTTTATGTTTTGATTTTGAGACAGAGTCTTGCTACGTTGCCCAGCCTGGGCTCAAACTTGGAATCCTCATGCCCAGCCTCCTGAGTAGTTGGGATTACAGGTGTGTAGCACTACACCCCTATAAATTTTTTAGTTTTTAAAAAGACAGAGACAAAAGAGTCTTGCTGGAGTACCTACTTGGGGTTGTTTGTGAGTACACAGTTGCTGGTTAGGTACTGGGTCAGCCCTAAACATTTGGGCAGGTGTTCACATCCGTAAGTCTTCTTATACTTGGGCGGCCAGGCAGACAAAAAGGGAGGAAAGCTATGATATGTTCAGTGGAAAAAGTAACGTGCACTATAGCAGATGTATGGTAAGCCTTCAAATAACTGGGCATGGTGGTGCACACTTGTAATCCCAGCTCTTTGGGAGGCTGATGCAGGAGGATCGGAAGTTCAAGACCAGCCTGGGCAATTTAGCAAGACCCAACCTCAAAGTAGAACAGAAAGGGGCTGAGGTATGTGTAGGTCAGTGGTATAGCGCTTGCCTAAAATACAGGAAGCACCAGGTTTAATTCCCAGCACTGTAAAAATAAACAAACAACAAAAAAAATTATAACGCCTCAGATTAAATAGGAACTTGTTTGAAAATATATCGAATAAATTATGAAAGATATAAATCAAACAATAGATACATAGATACTTATGGGTTTGGTTTTGTGAGTTGGGGAGGGATAATCTGAAGATTTAATTTTTTTTATCTTTTTGAGACAGGGTCTCACTATGCAGCAAGCTGGTCTTGAACTCACTTTATAGCCCAGGCTGGCTTCAAACTTGCAACAATCTTCCTGTCTCAGCCTCCCAAGTGCTGGGATTACATGTGTGTGCCACCACGCCCAGCTGAAAATTTAATTTTAAATAATTGCACATGTTATCACTAATAAGAATAACCAGGGCTGGAGATACAGCTCAGTGGCATAGCACCTGCCTAGCAAGTGCAAGGTCATGAGTTTGATTCCTGGTACTGAAAAAAAAAGAATAAACAATAACTAGTCTCAGAACAGTGACAGTTCTCATAAGTAAGTTTTGTGGTAAAACGTTTTGACAATTTTATAGAAAGGTAACATTCAGCAGTTCATTATGTTTAATGTGATCTAAGACATTTATGTCAGTGTTAGGGTAAAATTTAATTACATTTTAAATTACAGATGTGAATTTCTTCAAAGTAAGAAGTCCTCAGAGGAAATTGCCCAGTATATTCAAAGCTACCAAGGATTTGTTGAAGTAACGGTAATTTATAAATGGAAGTTTTTTTCTCAGCCTGTCTTTTTTGATTGCCTAATATCTGGATCCCAAGGGGGGAGGCATTCTTTGTATGTTGTGGGTTTTCTTTCTTTTTTCCCTTCTTTTTTCATTCTTTTGCCTTTCATCTGCAGAGTGGTTAAAAAAAAAGAAAAATGATGTTTTACATTCTCTTGCTAAGTTGGAGCGCTTAGCAGTCCCTTTCCCAGGGACTAGAAAAAAGTGGCCTTTGGTGGGCTCTGCCTGCCCTGCTGATCATTGCTGTATGGCTGAGGCTGCTTCATGGTACCTCTTCTACCAGGAAAGGTCCCCCAGCATGGCATTGCCACCACCAAGGCCTAGGGCCAGCTCCTCCTGCTGGGTCTTTACCCTACAGAAGTCAGGATAACAAGAAGTGAGGAGAAACCTAGGCCAAACTGGTGAAAACAACAAAGAGGATTTATTGGCTATGTATCAGAAGACCAAGACCCTGTAAAGAGCGTAGACTGGGTGACAGGTGTGGTTGCGCACACCTGGAATCCCAGAATGCAGGAGGCTGAGGCAGGAGGATCGCTGTGAGTTTAAGGCCAGCCTGGGCTACATAGTGAGTTCAAGGCCAGCTTGGAGTACATAGTGAGACCCTATCTCAAAAACCGAAAAACAGAACAAAACAACAGCAACAACAATAACAACAACAAAAGCATGGACTAAAAGTAGAGGAAGGGTGTTTTCTTTCAGGAAGAAATCTGGGTGCAGCTACCTTAGAGGGACCCGTTGCTCAATACAGAGCTCTCCTGAGTTTCCTTTCCTTCCTACCCCTCTTTCTTCATTAATCAGAATTCTCTGGTGTCTAAATGCAGTTCTGTTTGTAAGCCAGATCTCTGTAAAAAAGGGACCTTTAGGAGATTTCCTATTGCGTATGGGTAAACATGCACTGCTGTTATTTTACACTGCATTACAAACTTCCTGGCTGGGTGCCATGCACCTGTAATCCCAGCACTCTGGAAGGCTGAGGCAGGAAGATTGCAAGTGAGCCTATCCTGGGAATTTAGTGATTTAGTGAAACTGTGTTTTAAAATTTTGAAAAAGGTTAGGGAAAGCCGGGCATGGTGGTGCACGCCTGTAGTACCAGCACTCAGGAGGCTGAGGCAACAGGATCGTTGCGAGTTCGAGACAAGCCTGGGCTACAAAGTGAGCTCAAAGTCAGCCTGAACTGCACAGCGAGACCCTGTCTCAAAAAGACAAAAAAAAAAGGGGGGATATAACTCAGTACAAAGGCCTGGGTTCAACTTCCCAAAAAGGAAAAAACATCCAATATTCACTTAAGGGTATGCTTCTCTAACAACTCTGCCATTCTACTTAATGAAACTCTTTATGGGGGCGCTCTTCAGATCTGTTCCTACATAGGTGTATATAGTATAAGTTAAACAATTAATAATATAGATTTAATTTTCCTCAGGGAGAACATTTTGTGAATTCCTGGGTCAAAAGAGAATTACCTATGGCATCAGGTAAAAGCCCAGATGTATTCCAAAGGCTTTGCTTGTTTATTTTTTCGTCTGCTTTCTTGTTCCCCATCTTTTTCCTTTTTTGTTTTTGGTACTGAGGATTGAACCTAGGACTTTCACACAAAATTACACCTGCCAGCCCATTTTTATGTTTTGAGACAGGGTCCTGACAAGTTACTAAATTACCTAGGGTAGGCTTGAACTTGAAATCCTCTGCCTCAGCTCCCAGAGTACTGGGACTATAGGCCTGCGCCTGTCTTTTTCTTTTTAAATAAGCCCTTCCATTTTCCTCATTTTACACCACCATAATTCTTCTTAAAAATCATTTCCATAAGAGATTTTTGCTGTTGCAGAGTGAGTTAGTTTTTAGGATGAGCATAGAGAAATATGTTGGGGTTGATTCCTCCACTAACCGTGTCCCTAAAACACCTGAAGTTTCTGAATAAAGTGTTTTGAAAACATTCTTAAATGGCTCCATAGCCGGGCATGGTGGCGCACGCCTGTAATCCCGGCACTTGGGAGGCTGAGGCAGGAGGATCATTGAGAGTTCGAAGCCAGCCTGATCTACAAAGTGAGTTCAAATCCAGCTGAAACTCCATAGCGAGACCCTGTCTCAAAAAGACCAACAAAAAAAAGCTCTGTGTGTTAAGAAATGAATGAATATTCACATTAAAAAATGAAATGTCTAGCACCTGCCTGCAATCCCAGCACTCAGAAAGCTGAGGCAGGAGGATTGAGAGTTCAAGGCCAGCCTGGGCTACCTAGCAAGACCCTGTCTCAAACAAAACAGAACCAAACCGTGAGGCGATGGCAACACAGCCAGTTTCATCTTAGGCAGCGTAACGACATGGTCCAACCCTCCCAGCACGCGGAGGACGGTGCCAAAGCCCAGGGCCAGCCCAAGGGGAGCAGCCGCTGGAGCCCACCAAAGCGACATCCCAGAGAAGCGGAACCCAGCTGCCTTTCCTAAGGGCACTTCTGGGAAAATCACCTTTCCCAGTCTTGACACTCACCTCGGAAGGAGGAACTCTCCTCTAGCTTTTTCTTGTTTTATTCTGATGCTAGATGGTAAGAAAATAATTTCAAGATACATTTCATGATAGCAAATTTCAGACATATGCAGAATGAAGCTAATAGAATATACTCACCAGACATGCAGAACTCCACTTCCGCGGTGCTAGCCCTTGGCCACCTCACCTCAGCCATGTCCCTCTGCTTCTCACACCTGGTTATTCTGAGACAAGCTCAGTACCTCGGGCCTGGCATCGCGAATATGGAGGGAAACTGCGTAGTGCCCTTGTAAAGCTCACCGCTGGCCTGCTCCTTTCCTTCAAGCTTACGACAACGACAGTGTCTTCGCTAATGAAGATCTTCGCCAGGACACTTTTAGGAACTGGCCCCGAGAGGCCTCGGCAGTGGCGGCCCTGGTCAAAGCAGGTCTCTTCTACAGAGGTGAGCAGCGCCTGGTGCCCACTTGCTTGCGTGGCCATTTAAACCCCATGTGGACTTGAGGATCCTGGCCTTGCGTTGACCTGTGCTCAACAAGCTTCTCTCTTTTTGTCAGTTGTTAGGTGTCCCTTTTACGTCCTCTCTCCATTCTCTGTATCGTTGGAGTGCTGGGAAGAATGTGCTCAGACTGGAAGCAAGAGGTCTCAATGAGGCTTTTGTCTTTACTTCTGCGGGAGGTAGCAGCCGCAGGACAAAGGAGCGGCTGGCCTTTACATTCAGTGGCTGAACTTACAGGCTACAATCTATCTCGGCTGACTTAATTCAGGGGGGAGGGGGTGGGAGGTGATTTCCGAGTAAGTTAGAGAGAGCAGGTGTGGGGTTTAGAACAGGAAGTCCTTGGTTCTGATCTTGGAAACCAGCTGTGTTCCGGGAGAAGGTGCACAGTCATCATTTCTCAGAGCTCAGGATACTAACGGGGTAGGGTAGTGAGTAGATGGCCAGGGCTTTTAAACCTGAAATGGAGTTGTTCTGGCCTTGTGCTTTGTCAGAAAAGACAAGGCCCGTCTCTCACAATGCCCCCCTCAGGTGTGAACCCCAAAGTGAAAGCCTGACCTAGACAGACGGTAAGTACATGGTCTGTCTGTGATCACTGTCATGTCTTTTCCTTTCTATATATTATTCTCCCTGCTCCTTGTCCCCTGCCTGTGCTTAAAACAGTCACAACACTTCTATGTATATTTCCTTACCCATTATTTAGTTAGGTGGCCTTATACACCTATAAAGCAGAGCTGGGCCAGGCATGGCGGCACACGCCTGTGATCCCAGCACTCAAGAGGCTGAGACTGGAGGATTACCATGAATTCACGGCCAGCCTGGGTTATATAGTGAGTTCAAGGCCAGCCTAAAATATATGGTGAGATCCTATCCCCCACACACAAAAAAAGCGCAGCTAGGAAACCAGACATTTTCCCTGGGTGGTGATGTGCCCTGTTGAGATTGAGGCTTTGGGGGCTGGGGATTTAGCTCAGCGGCAAAGCGCCTGCCTGGCAAGCGCAAGGTCGTGAGTTCGGTTCCCGGTACCGGAGAAAAACCAAAAAAAAAAAAAAAAAAAAAAAAAAAAAAAAGAGATTGAGGCTTTGGTTACTGTGGAAGAATGGGAGAGACTGGGGGGTGGGGTGGGGGTAACAGTCTTTGCCACACTCTGCTCACAGGAGAAAGTCAGAGAATTCTGCCACAACCCTCGAAGCCAGCGGGGTCTGAGGGGGAGTGATGGGAGATTAAGAAAAAACAAGACACATAGAAAAACACTGGGGCTGGGTGGGACCTGACCTCCAATGGAGAGGCAGCGACATCCCAGCATGGTCTGCCTCTTTATTTATACAGAGTAAAAAGGGGGGAAGTGTACGATGGGGCCGAAAGTGCAAGGTCTCAGTGTTTTGCTAAGAATACTGAAAGGGAAACTCTCTCAGAGCTGTTTATGCTGTAGTTAAAGGGAGGAATCCCATAGCTGGACACCTGTTGATATGCCACTGAGCTAGAGTCAGCTTGTTTCTATTTTCCGCCTCTGGCATTCCATATTCCTGGGACTGGCTTTGCTGTAGTCCCGAGGAGTTCACCAACCTCTGGCTCAGCCACAGCTCAGTCGCTCCCCACAGAATTTATGTCCATGATTCCGAAGCATGCGAGCCTTCCCATTGTTCGCTGTACCTGCTAAGAATGGCTACTCTTCCCACAGTGACACTGTTAATCCCCAAAGCTGGCTCCTCTGCAAAATCTCTGCCTGAGGTGCACAAGGGGAACAGGGAGGGCATATTGTACCTCCCTAGGTGCCCTGCTGGTCCTCATCAGATCAGGATCACCCCGAGTTACTGTGAGCCCTTTAGTGGGGGAATCATGTAGGTAGCACAGATACAACAGCAGTTCGGGATAGAAGGGTACAGCTGTGATTGTAGCAGGCATATTTAATTGGCACAGAAATCTTAATGCCTCACAATCTTCAGCCTTTAGAAAGAGAGCACGCTGCCCTTTCTACACACACTGGCTGCTTGTTTTGCTCTTGGCAGGCTTTCTCCAGGCCCTACTGTCCCGAGTGCTCATCCTCTCCCCACAGCCCTGTGATCTGATGCTGTTCGGGTTCTGAAAGCTCGAGGACCTCATTTTTTTGGCCAGATACAAAGGGGGCTCTGTTTCAGCTGTACACAGCTGCTGGGGCCCAAGAGTGGGAGGAAGATGATGGGTTCAAGTCTGGGCCCTTGGCAGAACCAAACACTGGTCTCCTGCTAAGAAATGCAGTCCCATAGGGGACTCGGTCTTGTGTCTAGCAGAATAAACCTGGCAGTGGTGTGTTGAGAGCAAGTAATTCTGATGAAGTTGCTGACATAGGGTTCCTGGATTTGCTCATATGTTTTTACTTCCCTGAGCTCCAGATCTATTCTTTCTTATTTATTCATTAAACGACACTGATTGCCAAAGAAATACTAGGAACTCTGCTGGGCTCATGTGATTCGTTTGTGAAAAGTAGACACAAATTTCCCTGTGGAGCATCAGTTCTAGGTTCTGGCGGCAAATCTTCCTATTGCCCAGGTGATGGGCAGGGTGAGGGTGTTTATTAAAAACAGCACAGGGATGCATTCAATGACCATGCTGATTACCCAACCCTGGACCAAGAGGCTTAGACAGACCACAGCCCTAATAAAGGCCTGGTGGCTGTGACCAGCATGTCAGTCAACGAATGCGCATGCACCAAATACTGATCAGCTCTCCTTCTGTGCAGGGGTCGAGGACCAGGTGCAGTGCTTTTCCTGTGGAGGGTGCATGAAAAACTGGCAGGAAGGGGACGACCCCTTAGCAGATCACACCAAATACTTCCCCAGGTGAGCACGTGGCTGTCTAGAGCCCATGACTTTGTACATACAGTTTTCCATCACCCCCATTTTAGCTGTGGACCACGTCTTACCCACTCCTCTGCTCATCTCTTTGTCCTCTTGCCCAGGACCCCATCTCTTCTAGCTGTCCTCTCATCATAGTTCTATCTGGGTTTCAGTTAGATCATTATTTTTCCATTCATGTTTACACTATTGTAACTATACTAGTGCTATGCAGAGCTGAAATTTACAGTAAACTGCTACTTATTTTGCCTTCCTGTACATCTGTTTATTTTGGTAGGAAGTGTGCTTATTTACGAACCATTTTAAAGTGCACAATTCAATGGCATTTACATTCACAATGCTGTGCAACTGCCCCACCCACTTAATTCCAAGTATTGTCATCACCCCAAAACAATTAACCAGTCACTTCTAACCCTCCCACACCTGTCCACACCTACCTTGCCTGTAACGGACATGAATCTGCTTCGGGTCTATGGACTGTCCCATCCTGGATATTTCACATAAATGTAAGCATACGATATATTATGTGTCTGGCTTTTTGCACTTAGCTTTCTTTATTTTTATTTTTTAAAGAAGGAAAGGTTTATTTAGCTCCTGTACCCTTCTGCTGGCAGCTCACCTCACTGCTTTTTTGGGGATTGAACCCAGGGCTTTCACATTGATCTATGCCCTCAGCTCTTTTCATGTTTTACTTTGACACAGGATCTTACTAGGTTGCTCAGGTTGGGCTTGCCCACATCTGTATTTTTGGTTTTGTTTTTCTCTGGTACCGGGAACCGAACTCACAACCTTGCGCTTGCCAGGCAGGCACTTTGCCGCTGAGCTAAATTCCCAGCCCCTCAGGTTGGGCTTGAATTTGCGTTCCTCCTGCTTCAGCTACCCAGATTGCTGGAATTACAGATGTGTACCACCACATCTAGGTCTTTATTGGCTTGAATTTATACACTTATTTATTTAGAGACAGGGTCTCGCTATGTAATGCAGGCTGGCCTCGAACTCATGGCGATTCTCCTGCCTCAGCCTCCTGCGTGCTGGGATTACAGGCCTGCACCATCATGCCTGGCCATTGGCTTTTATTTTTAGGAAGAGATTTTTACTGTACCTTCCTTCATATTCCTTTTGCTTGATAGGTCTGCACAGGACTGACCTTGGACAGAAACATGAGAACTCTTACTTGTTACTTTCAGTATCTAAGTATCTATTCCTGTATGCCTCTTTAGGGCCTGACTTGTCATTTGGCCTTTTTCAGATGTGGGAGATAAGTTCCTTCAGCAAAGCAAAGGAAAACAGAAGGGATGCATACTCATGCGCTGGCCCTGACCTGTGATTCTCTGGTTTGTAATGGGCCCAGGACCACTGGCTATTCTGTCTCTCCATCCCCGCTCACCTCAGTCCTCTACCTGTCTAAGCGAACAGTGCAGGGAGTGCTCTTGTGACTTCTCCCCTGGTTCCTCACACAGACCACATCCCTGAGCTCAGAGGGTATCTGTGTCCCGATTTTGGGGTGTCTGGCAAATAGTTTTCAGGGAGTATATTCGTAGCCATTTTCAGTTTTGATATTAACAGAGCTGTTAAAAATTAACTGTTAGTTTGAGCATAACTTAGATTTATAGAAAAAGTAGAAATAGAGCATTTCTATATATTACCTTGCCTGATTTCCCCCAATGCCAACATCTTCTACTACCACCATGCATTTCTCTGAACTAAGAGTTACTAGCCGGGTGTGGTGGTACACACCTGTAATCCCAGTACTTGGGAAGCTAAGGCAGGAGGATCACCGTGAATTTGAAGCCACCCTGGGCTACATAATCAAGTTCAAGGCTGGCTTGGACTACATAGTGAGACCCTATGTCATAAAAAAAGAGTTGTGATATTACTAACAATTACATTCCAGACTTTATGTTTTCCCACTAATGTCCTGTTTTGTTCCAGGACCCACAGATGGAGTTTTCTCTACTTTTGCTTCTTTAGTTCGTCATGGCTGGCTTCCTGGATGAGTGTTATGTGTGTACTCATCCCACCAGCCCTGGGCAGCATCACTGCGTCACAGCCACACACTCTGCAATTGCTCAGAGCCTCGTCTTAGCATCCTGTGTGACGTGACCCTGACGGAGTCACTGAAAATGCTGGTTTTAACTTAATGGTTGTCGTGAAAACTCTAATAGCATTTTTATAAAACCTAATGCAAATGTTTAATTGCATACGTTTTTATACTTTTTAATTTCCATGCTTAGTTGTCCATTTCTCCAAAATATGAAGTCCTCGGCAGAAGTAATTCCAGACCTCCAGGACTGTGGCAAACTCCCTGAAATAATGGTATGTTATGTTTCAGCGAGATATGATTGGGTGGTTGAAAACTGCTTTGAACAGGAATCACTCAATATAAATAAGTGAACACATAAATTCTCCAGGTATCTAGCAAGCACCTTTCATGTGCAAGGTGCAGACAGGGTTACCATGGAGTATCAGGAAGACACAATTCCTAGCTTTGTGAATGAGTGGTCAGGGAACTCAGCATTGGGGCCTTGACTTTTATTAAAGAGCAGCATTGGGCTACATGGATCCCATTTGTGATCTTTATTTAAAGGCCAGTAAGGCCGGACTTGCTCTTTGACCTTTTTCAGGGCTGGAAAGATGTTTCTTTAACAAAAGGAAATGGCCAGATACTAGGCTGACCCCTTCAAACTAAGAAATCCTGCATAGTTCTCTGGGATTTCAGCCACAATCAATTGGATAAATACATGCAACCCAAGGCTGTGTGGTGGGTATATTTGTCCTCCAAAACAAGAAAACAAAACAACATTCTCTTCACTTGCTACATCTTTTATATTTGTAAATTTTAAAAAGACATTGAAGGGCCAGGGATGTAGCTCAGCAGCATAGCGCCTGCCTGGCAAGTATTAGGTAGCAAGTTTGAGTCTCGGTACAAAAAAAAAAAAAAAAAAAGACATTGAAGTTAGGTATGGTGGTGGACACGTAGTAGTCCCAGCTATTTAGGAGGCTGAGATGAGAGGATCAAGAATTGAGACCATAAGGCAGGAGAGACCTTGAGGAACTGGGGATGACATTCAAGCATGGATCCAAGCAGTGAAGGGTGTACAGAAAAGGTCAGCAGTGTGAATATTGACAAACTTATAAAGGATTTCTCACATACAGAAAAGACAGGGTCGGGCACTGGGGATTTAGCTCAGCGGCACAGCTCCTACCTGGCAAGTGCAAGGTTGTGAGTTCAATTCCTGGTACTGGGAAAAAAAAAAAAAAAAGAAAAGACAGGGTCTTACTGTGTTGCCCAAGGAATGAGGAACTACTGAGCTTATAAGGTTATCTTGCCTCAGCCACCTGAGTAGCTGGGACTACAGAAAATAGTAGAAACCAGTGGAAAGAATAATGTACTGGAGATTCAGTTGGAAAAGACCACCTGTTTATTAAAAGTAATCCAAACAAAGGAAGTCTCATTTAGAAAAGAATGTGCTGCTCTTCACAATATGATAAAAGGGCCACAACAGACTATTGGATATCAACACAGTTTGAAAGGTGAAAATGAACAACTAAAAAGAAATGCTGATATGACAAAGGAAAACCTAAAATCTCAAGAACAGGAATATAAGAATAATATCACCAAATCTGCACATGAAATAAAAATCAAAGAGGAGGAACATGAGATAGAAATAAGCAGACTTTATCAAGATATGCAGAAAAAAGTTGAATTAAATGAAGAAAAGCACAAAGATCTAATAAAGAAAAAGGAGATGGAAATTTTAGAGTTAAATGCAAAGTTAGTAACTCAAGAAAAGGAAAAGCAAAATAAAATAATCAAACTACAGCTGGAGTTTGATGCCAAACAGCAAGAGTTCAGACTAAATCAAAACCCTATCCAGATGCTACTGTTTCCCCACAAAGTATCTACAGAAGGAAGCTTTAACATTTTCAAGAAGAAAAAAACAAGGAAATTGCAGTTCTTCATAATACTATTCATGATTTGGAGCGGTGCCTTTCTATTGGCAAAGATTCTCACCTTAAGCGTAGACGATTTTGACTATAACAGTAAATTCATTAATTCATATTTACTTTTTAAAAAGCATTTGAAAAATTCACTTCCATTTTCAACATAAGCCTAAATAATAAAAAAGAGACACTTTAAAGATTTTTATTAAATTTATTTAGACAGATCCATACATTGGCCGATCATGTACTACATTCTTGCTTAATGGTATTATCTATAAAGAAGTTCAGGTTTATAGGGTTTAGTTTACCTATTAAACCATCATTGACTATGGAAATACTCTCTAAGCAGTCTAAAGTAGACATTTCTTTCTTTTTCCTTATAGCCATTCAAAATTCAGAAGTATGATATAATGATAGATAAAGAAAATAAGATACAAAGACTTTGTGTAAAAATCAAGGTATGAGTCTTAGGTATTGAAAAATTAAAGGACATTTTAAAATGACATACACCTTTTAAGCAAAATATTCATGTGTTAAATAAAATTTACTTCTTTCTCTAAATGTTTAATCAGTTTAAAATGTAAGATTAAAAAGACGAAGATAATATGGTGTTTTTTTTGTTTTTTCTCTGGTACCGGGAACCGAACTCATGACCTTGCGCTTGCCAGGCAGGCACTTTGCCACTGAGCTAAATCCCCAGCCCCAAAGATAATATGGTTTTGAGATGAGTAAAGAAAAAATGGAAAACAAAACAAAAAAAAAGAATTGAGACCACAAAAAAAAACAAAAACAAACAAACAAAAAAAAGAATTGAGACCATAATGGGCAATTTAGCAAGGCTCTGTTTCAAAGGGGGAAAAAAAAGGACTGGGATGTATCCTAGCAATACAGCACTTACCCAGTAATGTTTGAGGCCCTGAGTTCCATCCCCATGATGGCAAACAAAAAAAACATTCTGTATTAGTCACTTTTCCGTGACTAGGACAAAATACTTAACACCTGCAACTTTTTTTTTGATACCTAGAATGAAACTCAGGACCTTGTGCTTCCCAGGCAGGCACATGTATCACTGAGCTGTATCCCTGGCCCTGACACCTACAACTTAAATAAGGGGAGATTCATTTTCACTCACAGTTGCAGTGGGTTCAGTGCATGGTCTTCTGGCTCCAAGGCAAAAGTGGCTTGGTTGGTGGGCATGGTAGTACACGCCTGTAATCCCAGCACTCAGGAAGCTGAGGCAGGAGAATCACTGTGAGTTCAAGGCCAGCCTGAACTACAGAGTGAGACCCTGTCTCAAAATACAAAAAACAAAATGACAAAGAGAATATACCCATTCAGGTCATGTTACCAGGGACCTACCCCTCCAACCAGGCCCACCTCTGAACATGAGACTGGGGGGACATTTTAGATTTAAACCACAGCACACTCAACACCTAATCTTTGTAAAAATGACATGGAGGTCTTTTGTGATTCATAAGCGGTAACTGGTTTTTGTGCCGTTGTGTGAGGTGTGCCTCTCTCAGACCTCATCCCGTATGTCTGCACATCACCCATCTGACATAAAAAAGAAAAAGATGATGCCAAAGAAGAAAGTCTGGGGACATATAAATAGTTTATTGTTCAAAGGAGGAAATACAACTTTTCTACATCCCAGGTATGTGATAACATGCATGTGGTAGAAAACTAAGGACAGAGGCTACACACTGCTTTTCTCAGGGCCTTTTGGCTCTAGACTCTGTGGCTCTGATTCCCTGCACAGCGCTCCCCTGGGATGCGCCTCCTGTGTGTCAGACTGAACACAAGCACCCTTGCAGATCTATTTCCAGCACTCCTTTCCTCTCCAGTTAGTGTAAGTACGCAAGGGAGGACTATGTTTAAAAGATGTTTGTTTATTCCCAGTGATAATGTGACTCCCCCCTCTCTTAGGAAGATTTTGATTTAATAAAGAATTTTCTATTTCAAAGGAAACCACAAGTGAAAGCAAGCTTGAAGAGCCCACAGCAGTTAGTTCTTTAACACCAGGTAAGCACTTGGGGGTTGGCCAATGGGTTTATATGTGTGTGTAAATACATTTGTAGGTAGGAATTTGAAAAAAAATATTTGTAATTGTCCAAAGAGCTCCCAGGGAGGAGAGGGATCAGACTGGAGAGCACAGTACTGTGTGCAAGAGAGCCAGGGGCCTGTGGGCTCTCCACGCAGAATCAAGGCGGGCTGTGTCTCAGACACAGATCACGCAGCAGACTTCTCTCCCGAGACTTTTAAGTGACAGATTACAGGATTCCTTGGTGTTCCTAAGAAGCACACATTCTGCCTGAGTTCTGGGGTCAAGGAGGGTACGTGGGCACATGCTCCCCACTTTCTAATTTTGTGGGAAAAGCTGGGAGAGGACCCCAAGCTGGAGATCACGGATGGCCATGGTCCACCACAGTGGACAGCACCATCAGCGGGCACGAAGACTAGGAGACTGGGTGGAGAGGGAAGTGCCTGTGAGCCCCACCATGCTCCTTTCTCTCCGCAGATGCGGCACCGGGGGAGGCCCCATGGTGTCGAGAGGCAAAGAGTCTGAGTGAGCTGCTGAGAAGCGCCTACACCAGCGCCCGTTTCCGCCACTTGTCGCTGCTTGAGAGCCCTTCGGGCCTCCCCTCTGACCACCTGCTGGGCTGTGACCTGGCCCTCACTGCCAAGCGCGCCAGCAGTCCTGTGCAGGAGCCCCTGACGCTGCCCGAGGTCTTGGCCAACTTGAACTCTGTCATGAGTGTGGAGGGTGAAGCTGGCAGCGGGAAGACGGTCCTGCTGAAAAAGATTGCCTTTCTCTGGGCATCGGGGTGCTGTCCCCTGTTGCACAGGTTCCAGCTGGTCTTCTACCTGTCCCTCAGTTCCATCAGCCCGGACGAAGGGCTGGCCCACATCATCTGTGACCAACTCCTAGCAGCAGGAGGAACTGTGAGTGAAATGAGCCTGAGGAGCATGACCCGGCAGCTGGGGAACCGGGTCTTATTCCTGCTGGATGACTACAGAGCAAGGGGCTCAGTCCCCCGCGTCATGGAAACCCTGATCCACAGAAGCCACTTGTCACGGACCTGCCGATTAATTGCTGTCCGTACAAACAGAGGCAGGGACATCCGCCGACATGTAGATACAGTTCTGGAGATCGGGGTGTTCCCCTTTTACAACACTTTCTCTATATTACGGCGGCTTTTTCCACACGACCAGCCCCGGCTGCGGAAGCTCCTGGTGCATTTTGGGAAGAACCCGCAACTGCAGGGAATTCACAAAACGCCTCTCTTTGTGGCGGCGACCTGCGCTTACTGGTTCCAGTACCCTTCCGCTCAGTCTTTTGACCATCTGGCTGTATTCAAGGCCTATATGGAATGCCTTTTCTTAAAGCACAAAACTTCGGCTGAGCTTTTCAGAGGAACTGTGGCCTCCTGTGGGGAGCTGGCCCTGAAAGGGTTTTTTTCATCTCGTTTTGAGTTTAGTGGCGATGAGCTCGCAGAAGCAGGAGTTGATGAGGATGAGGATCTCACCATGTGCTTGATGAGCAGGTTCACAGCCCAGAGACTGAGACCAGTCTATCAGTTTTTAAGTCCTGCATTTCAAGAGTTTCTTGCTGGGAAGAGGCTGAGTGAACTGCTGGATTCAGACAAGCAGGAAGATCAAGATTTGGGACTTTATTATTTGAAACAAATTAACTCACCCCTGCTGGCTGGAAGCTCCTATCGTAATTTTTTAAAGCATGTCTCCAGCTACTCTTCAACAAAGGTGGGGCCAAAGGTAGTATCTCATTTGCTTCATTTGGCGGATAGTAGGGAGTCACTGGAAAACCCACCCGGAAGCGGTGGCTGCCCCCAGCGTGAAGAGGAGATGCCGCCCTATGCCCAGGCGTTCAGACTGCTGTGGCAGATGTGGCCAGAGCACTGCTTTCCGCTGCTAGCAGAGCATTTATTGGATTTTTCCCTAAGGGTTGCTTATGAAAGCAATACTGTTGCTACATGTGCTCCATTTATTTCGAAGTTCCTTCAAGGGAGATCCCTACCTTGGGGGCTCCTTAGCTCACAGTACTTCTTTGACCACCCAGAAAGCCTCCAGGTGCTGAGGAGTGTCACGGTCTCGCTAACAGGCAGCAACCCGAGCCCCAGACTCTTACACAGTGAAATCCTGGGAGGCTGTTTCGACAGGTCCCAGACGCCGACAGTAGATCAGGACTACGCGTCTGCCTTTGAATCTCTCAACGAGTGGGAGCAGGATATGGTGGAGAAGGAGGAGAACATCAAGAGATACCACAAGCTCCAGGCCCAGCGGACGCCAGACCTCAGCCGCGGCTACTGGCAGCTCCGGCCCCCGCCACACAAGCTCCCGCTGCTGCAGGTGCGCGTTACCCACCAGAGCGCGGCCGGGCCGGAGCTGCTTGCGGCGCTCGCGGCCGTCTTCGCCGCCTCCCAGCGCATCGAGCTCCACGTGGAAGAGAGCGCGGGCTTCCTGGAGAGCGTCCGGCCCGCGCTGCAGCCCAGCAGGGCCGCCGTCGCCAAGTGCGCCCTGCGCGGCGTCCCGCTCAGCGCCGCGGAACAGGAGCTGCTGCTCGCCCTGCCCGCCCTGGAGGCTCTCGACGTCTCAGGCGCGGGCCAGGTCCCAGGTAGCCCGGCCGTGCTGGGGAGCACTCTGCAGATGGGACATTTTATCTTCTCACTCCTAGCTCTGGGTGACGCATGCTTCGAAAGCCAGCAGCCCATAAATCCTCTCTGATAGAAGCGCTGTAAAAATGAACTTTCCCTCATTGGGGGCGCTAATAGTATAAATGAAGGAAAGGCCCTTGAATAGTAGAATGGTTTTCAGATAACTCAGATTATTTGAACCAGAGCATCTCCTGGTTAATTAACAAAACGTGAATGTCAGTATTTAATTAAGGCCCCTTAGACATAAATTACCTGTTCTGAGTAAACAATGATCTATTCATAGATGATGCTTGAAAATTTCTCCTGTCCCAGCTGCCTAATGGAAGAAAGGGCATGGCTCCTTTGGGAGACAGTGTCTCCCATTTATTTGAGTCTTTCTTTCCTATTATCTTTTGAGATGTCTCACCATGTGTTCCAGGCTGGCCTTGAACTTGCAGCAATCCTCCTGCCTCAGCCTTCCTCCTGCTTGGATTACAGGCATGGATTCCCCCCACCCAGTTTGAGTTTTCTAAGGAATATTTCATAGTTTTCAATATCGACTTTTCCCATCTTTCATTAAATTTATTCCTAGGTACTTCTGCTTTTTATATCACTATAAATGATATTTAAATTTTTTTCACCATCTAATTGTAGATTAACTTTGGTTTTCAACAGTTGTATACCAAGGTGTGCTTTACTAGGTATTATCTTGTTTGAGGATTGCTCGTGGTTCTGTGAGTTAATATTTCTCAAACAATTTCATTAAAATTTTTTTTCATTTAAAATTTTTTTTAAAAATTCTTTTTAGTACTAGGAAACAAACCCAGGGAGCACTGAGTTACACCCCCAACCCCCTTTTTGTTCTGTTTTTGTTTTGAGACAGCATCTTGCTAAATTGCCCTGGCTAGGCTTGAATTTGGTGATCCTCCTGTCTCAGCCTCCCAGGGTGATGAGATTACAGGTGTGTAGCACCATGCCTACCTCACTGTAGTTTTGATTTGTATTTCCCTTCTCACTGAATGACACAGAACATCTTCTTATGTGCTTGTAGTGGTTGTAAAAATCTTTTGGAGAAATATCTATTCAAATTCTTTGCTCCTTGTTAAGGTGTTTTTTGCTGCTGTCGCTGTATGTAGTCTTTGTATATTCTGGATGTTAAAAGTGTTTCTCTCATTCTGTTGCTTTCTTTTTCCTTATTTCTTTGTTCTCCCCTCCTTTGCTCTCCTTTTTCCTTCTCTTTTTATTTTTGGTACTGGGGTCACTCTATAGAGCATCACCATGCCTGGCGAGTTTTAATTTTAATATAGTCTAATTTATCAATTTTTTCTTTGCTAGGGCTTTTGATGTCATATCCAAGGTCATGAAAATTTGCCCCTATGTTTTCTTCTAAGAATTGCATGGCTTTAGCTCTTATCTTTCAGTCATTGGTCCATTTTAACTTAGATGAGTTAAGGTAGGAAGGAGTCCAGCCTGATTCTTTTGCCTGTGCAAACCCAGTTGTTCGCACACCACTGGTGGAGGAGACATCTTACTTGTGTTTGTGAGTGCAGAGGGTAATAAGGGCCTCCCAGATGGGACATAATTGGTGAGTTCTACAGATAGTTCTTCACAGATGACCTTACTGAAATGACGTGGTGGTACACGCCCATAAGCTCAGCACTTAGGAGGCTGAGGCAGGAAGATTGCTGTGATTTCAATGCCAGCCTGGGCTACACAGTGAGTTCAAGGCTAGCCTGACCTGCACAGCAAGACTTTGTCTCAAAAAAAAAAAAGTTTTACGGTGTCTGGTTGTCTTCAGCTGACAATGTGAAAGTAGCGGATGGGTCAAAATGATGGTTTCAGATTTTCCATTTGGAAACTGTTAGATTAATAATGAGAAACTCTGCTGCTCTGCAGACCAAATCTTCCCTAACCTGGACAAGTTCCCATGCCTGAGAGAACTGTCTGTGAATCTGGACAGTGGACCGGATGTCTTTTCTCTCCTTCCTGAGGAATTCCCCAACCTCCACCACATGGAGAAATTACTGATCCAAATTTTGGATGGGTGTGATGCTTCCAAACTAGGTAAGGATAGCACTTGGATTTATTTGTTTTGGCATTAGTTGGAAAAGCTACATGGCTAGTAATTTTTTGAGACAGCATCTCTCTATGTGGCAAAGATTGTCCTTGAACTATGTAGCCCAGGATGGCCTTGAACTTGTGGCAATCTTCCGACCTGAGCCGCCTGAGTGTTGAGACTATAGGCGTGTACCACTACAACTGGCTCCAGTTATTTAGGAGTTAAAACTTCTTCAGCTGAGTGTGTAATCTCAGTACTCGGGAGGCTGAGGCAGGAGGTTCGCCATGACTTTGAGGCCAGCCTGAGCTACACAGTGAATTCAAGCCCAGCCTGAATTAGAGACCACGACCCTGCCTCAAACAAAACAAAAACAAAGTTAAAACTTGTGTAGGTCTGAGGGTTTAGTCTGTCCCCATGGGATATTGTGGGCATAGCACTCTCTCCTGAAGAAGGTAGAGGGCTACCTGTAAATTTTGAGCCTTTACTGTGCTAGGAACTGTTCTAAGCACTTTCCAAATTCTGACTTTCTCTCCACACCTGCCCTCACAGCCGAGGTATTGAAACACAAAGAGGCTAAGTAGTTTACTCAGTTAGCCCAGCTGAGGAAATGTCAGCTCCCAATCCAAGCCCTGCGACGCTGGTATACTACACAGAAAGTCAGCTTTTGTTTGAGTGGCTCTCCTAGAGTGGTCAGAAAGCCAACTGGCCAGGCTGGAGCTGCCATCTTGGGCAGCTGTGCAGCCTGCTTGCAGAGCTCTTCATTTAGCAGAACCAGCAGTGCCTCACTTTAGGAAACCCCAGACACCAGACAGAAGTGGACCCACGTTACATCCAGCTTCACATACGCACAACTCAAGTTATGACGGGAATTTTTGTTTTATGACCAAAGTCTTGAGTTATGGCCTGAGTGCTGGCCGCTTATGCTTCCAGATACAGATTTAACCCTTAAGGAGCGCTGGAAGGAACATTACAACACCCTTTCCTGTATGGGCTTAGTTGAGAAATCCTGGGCCAATGTCTCTGTAAGGACACTGAAATCCGCCCGTACACAGGAGAGAGATTTTGAAGGCTGTAGAGGAGCCCGAGCCTTCAGTTGACAACCTGAGTTCCAGCCAGCCCTCGGGAATGCACTGAGTTCCTAAGTCAAAGGTCCATTCTGTACGAAGCTCTATGGAATCGACATGCAAAACATTTGCTGATGTTGAAATTAGAAGTGGTAGTTTTCTTGTATTAGTTGGGGGGTTGTTTGTTTTTCAGACAAGGTCTCTCTTGGCAGTGCAAGCTGGCCTTGAACTCACTTTGTAGCCCAGGGTGGCCTTGAACTCAAAGCAATTCTTCTGCCTCAGCCCCCTGAGTGCTGGGATTACAGATGTCAGTATTTTTACAAGTGTAGGCTTTGCTGCAGGGATGTTCCCCTGTGTTTCTTTGTGTGGTGTTTGTATTGTGTAAACGCAGTACACAGCTGGAGATGTTAGGAGGTGATAGCTGAAGGTGACCCTCCTGAGCCCTTATCTTAGAGATAGGAAAACTGATCCTTGGAGAGTCAGTTACCATACTGTCCCCAGTCAGCGTAGAACCTGGCAGGAACCCAAGTGGCCGGGTCTCAGGTCCCTGCATCATGCCACCTTGATTGAGGTTAGTATTGTTGGAAGAGGAAGTCATAAAGCATGAGACTAATTTTGATAGAAATTTGCAGTTTTTTCCAGCTTCTGAAGTCTTTGATATTTTACAGTCAAATTGATTCAGAACTCTCCAGACCTGCGTGTTTTCCGTCTGAATTGCTGTGCCTTTTCTGATTTTGAGTCTCTCATGACTGCACTGGCTTCCTGCAAGAAACTCAATGAAATTACATTTTGTGGACCCTTTTTTGATGCCATCCCATTTGGTAAGAATTATAACTTTGTAATTTTGACTCAAGATGTCTCTGTGGACAAAGTCATACTGAGCACAATAAAAAAAAGCCAACTTACTTTTTGGAAACAGGGTCTTGCTATGCAGTTCAGGCTGGCCTTGACTCACTGTGTAGCTCAGGCTAGCCTTGAACTTGAAGTGATCCTCCTGCCTCAGCCTTTTGAGAGCTGGGATTACAGGTATGTGCTACCACGCCCAGCTGTTTCTATAATTTTAAACATTTTTAGCTTCCAGAATTATTTTCTGAGAAAGATTTGTATTCTGTACTTAGTCAAACTAATGGAATATGAATTAGTACATTGTTTGGGGTTTTTTGTGTTTTTTTTTGAGACAGGGCTTCACTGTGTGGCCCAGACTGACCTCAAACTTGAGACCAGCCTCCCTCGGCCTCAGCCTCCTGAGTGCGAGTGCTGGAATTACAGGTGTGCACCACTTTGCCTGGCCTTAGTACTATATATTAATTTTGATCACTTTAAAGATACTCTTTTTTTTTTTGTACTGGGAATCAAACTTAGGGCCTCACGCTTGCCAGGCAGGTGCTGCGCCACTGGGCTAAATCCCCAGCCCAAGATACCCTTTATTTTAAAAATATTACTTGTACTCACAAGAAATGTAACTGACATAACTGAATTTTTATTTCCTCTCTCATAGTCACTATTTTGCCAAGTTTTACTTTTCTGAAGATATTAAATCTGAAAGACCAACAATTTCCTAAGGAGACAGCTGAAAAATTTGGTATGTTTTCAAATCAGGGCTTCCTACTGATGGTTAATTCCCTTCCCCCTTGCTCCCACAAAATCCTTTGCCTGCCTGGTGACTGAGGCACCCATGGGCGTGGTTCTGGGACCCTGGCTGACAGCGGGAGGGGCGCACCGAGGCCCTGTGTGGAAACCCACACGGCTCCTCCCTTTGCGTCTTACCGCGCGTCTAGACCTCTTGTCTCACCTGCAGCAGTGTGACTGTGCTGCATCGTTCAGGAGACGGCGACAGAAACAGCCTGACGTCGGTGCAGGTGCGGCCTTGTGCGGCCTTTCCGCGCTGCGGCCCGCTGCCCTGAGCGGGCAGGGGCTGCTCACAGCTCCAGCTCCTTGGGCGGAAGCCGTGCGCTCGGCTTGGCGCGATTTCCGCACAGTCCTTGCACTCAGTCCCCGCAGAGCGGGTTCTCAGCGACCTCTGCGTACTTGGTGGACCAGTCCTCACAGCGCTGTGCGGGTCCACTGTCCAGCATCCCCTCCTGTATGTCCGCTGCCCACTGTGTCCGAGAGCGCAGGAGTGGGCGCCAGCCCGCCGGGTAGCGTCCTGGGAGGTCGGGCGGACTGCGCTCGGGCTCCGCGCCGGGTGCCCGGTGGCGGTGGCCGAGGGCCGGGACGACGGCTCGGAGAGAACAGCGTGCTGTCCCCACAGCCGGCGCCCTGGGCTGTCTCACGGACCTGGAGGAGCTGGTGCTTCCGACTGGGGACGAGATTTATCAAGTGGCAAAGCGGATCATCCAACAGTGCCAGCGGCTTCTGCGCCTCCGCGTGCTGTCCTTCTTACAGATTCTGAGCGACGACAGCCTGGCGGAAATAGGTGAGCTATTCTGTGTTACCGCGGGCAGGAAGCGCAGGTGCCTCAGGCGCAAGGCAGCGTCTCCTCTGAGGGGCTGCACACACTGAGCGGCACTCTGAAGACTCCATTCTTCTGTAGGTACCTTACGCTCCAGCTGAACAAAAGGGGCGCTTTGGAGAGGCTCGGGCGTGTGTCTGACACACTGGACAGAAGAGCGCTGGCCGGTGGGTGCAGCTCGGTGCAGCTGGCCTGCAGCGTGCGATTGTGTGTGTGTGTGGTGTGCTGTGGTGCACACCCAGCGCCTTTTTTTCAGCTGGAGATGAATAGGACAGATGTCCTATTAATACAAAAGGACAGACGTCTTCTGTATGCCGCTCAATGGATTTTAGTAAACAAACAGTCTTGAGAATTCTGTCACCCAGGTGTAGGCAGCAAGGGGCCACGTTAGAATAGGAACATCACCAGCCTCCTTCCAGCTTCCTGTCTGACAGCACTGCCTGCCCCTTACCCGGGACCAGCTGAGATCTTGCTTTCTTCCACCACACATTAGTTCTACCTACTTAAAAATCCTACATAATGGAATCCTACACAATATGTACTCTTTTGCATCTATTTGGATCAACATTTGTGCTATTTATTCATATTGATGCATGTGATAGAGCTCACTGATTTTCACTACCAAATACTATGCTGTGACTATATACATGCTACAGCCTATCCATCTAGTGTATTCTAATGTTGGGCATGGTGGCATGTGCTATAATCCCAGCACCTGGAGAGGCTGAGGCAGGAGAGCAGAAGTTAGAGCTTAGCCTGGGAAACCTAGCAACTTAGTAAGACACTGTCTCAAAATAAAAATGAAGAATAAAAGAAGGGCTTGGGATGTAACTCAGTGTGATGCCCTGGGTTGAATTCATTAATAGTAATAGTATTACTACCCTGCAATGAGTGGTAGAAATGCTTCTGTGGACATACATGGTCTTTGATCTATGTATTTAAGTGTTTGTGGGGCAGAGGTTACTGAGGCACCTGGACAAACCATTTCAGTTTTCTTTTTTTTTTTGGTTTTTCTCCGGTACTGGGAACCGAACTCACGACCTTGCGCTTGCCAGGCAGGCGCTTTTGCCGCTGAGCTAAATCCCCAGCCCCTCCATTTCAGTTTTCCATGGAGGTTGTAGCAATTTACACCCCCACCAGTAGTCATTTCACATCCTGGCCCTGCTTGGTACTTGTCAATTCTTTAAACTGTAGCCATTCTCATGCCTGGATAGTCATAGCTCCTTGTAGATTTCCTGATGGTGTATTTTTGTTATGTGATAGGTACTGTTTGGCATATTATGTTTTTCTAGGAATTATTTTTATTTCAATTAGCAATAATAGCGCCTCGGATAAACCTCATTGGCTACGATACTGCCACTGCGCAAAGCTAGGAATTATTTTTATTAAAGTCCCTGGTTTGCTAGCTGTGGTGGCACACACCTATAATCAATCCCAGCACTCTGGAGGCTGAGGCAGGAAGAACACTCTGAATTCAAAGCTAGCCTGAGCTACGTCGTGAGTTCTAGGCCAGCCTGAACTACATAGTGAGACCCTGTCTCAAAAAAAATACAAAAAACTCCAAAGAAACCTGGGTATGATGGCACACACCTATAATCCCAGCCTTCCTGGGCAGCTAAAGCAGAAGGATCACTGAGTTCAAGGCCAGCCTGGGCTGTCTAGTGAGTTCAAGGCCAATCTGAACTATGTAGTGAGACCCTGTCTCAAAAAAAGAAAGAAAAAGGAAAAGAGAAGGAAAAAGAAAGAAACTAGTACATTGAGCATTTCCTACTTTACTGATAAGGGTGGTGGCAAGAGAGGTTGACTCAAATAATTTTGTCCACCATTACTGAAATAAAAGTCCTTATGATTGGGTTTTCATGAATGTTCTGTTTCTGTAGCCAAGGTATCAATCAGTGGAGGTTTCCAGAAACTTGAGGACCTAAATCTTTCAATCAATCACAAGATTACACAAGATGGATACAGGAATTTCTTTCAGGCCCTGGACAGCCTGCCCAACTTGAGAGAACTGAATATCTCCAGACACTTCACAGAGTGTATCACAGCTCAGGCCAGCACAGTCAAGGCCCTCGGCCAGTGTGTGTCCCGCCTGCCCAGCCTGGTCCTGCTCACCATGCTAGGTTGGCTCCTGGATGCAGAAGATGTCACGCTGCTTGATGCTGTGAAAGAAAGACACCCTCAATCTAAGCGCTTGCAGATTTTCTGGAAATGGAGATTGCCATTCTCTCCAATCATTCAGAAATGAAACCTTTAGGCTGGGTATGCTGGTGCACCCCAGCACTCCAGACCTGAGGCAGAGGATTATGAGTTCAAGGGCACCACTGGCATAGTGACAACTTGTCTCAAAAAAAAAAAGAGGCCAGGGATGTAGCTTAGCAGCGCAGTGCCTGCCTGGCAAGCATGAGGCCCTGAGTTTGATTCCTGGTACAAAGAAAAAAAAAAAAACAGTTAAAAAAAAAGAAAAAAGGGACCCTATGATAAATATGATCTTTTTATATATATATATTATATATATATATATAAAAGTGTACCAATAAACAATTTAAAAAGAGGAAGAAAAGAAATAAACTGTTGGGAGTAGTTAGAGCTCAAAACTGATTTTATGTGTGAGGGCAGGACAGAGCCAGAGTGCGCCAAGTAGTCAAGCTACCTCAGTCTTGAGAAAAGCATCCTGCCTGGACAATTCAGTCTATTCGCCAGGCAACCTTGTGTCTCCTGATACTAACTGTGCAAAGGTATAAATAAATGCCCCTACTATTGTTGTTAGGTCCTCTTACCCATCAGGTAGAGAGGCCTCCACCTGACCCAGATCTTGTCTCTTGTCTATTACCTTTTCCTCATTCCCCCCCGCCGCCCCCTCGTTCCTCCCTGAGGTACACTGAAAGACCCAGCGTAACACATTCAGTAAAAACTGCTGAATATGCTCACTTCGGCAGCACATATACTAAAATTGGAACAATACAGAGACGATTAGCATGGCCCTGTGCTAGGATGACACGCAAATTCGTGAAGCGTTCCCTATTTTTCATTTCTACAGCAACACCTTCTCCAAAATCCACTGAGCAGACAACCACAGTGTTACCAGCCTTAACAGCCCTTGCAGTGGGCTACACACAATTAACAGAGAAGGAATAGAGGAATCTCAGAGCCCCATGAAAACATCTGTTCTGGTTAGCCACAAACCTAGTCCTCAGACCATCACTCTCTGTGTCCATATATCCCAGCTCAGCAGAAGTTCTGAAGGCATGCAGGAATCTAGGTAAAAATGGCTTGTCTAACAGTAGCATTTTGTTGGATAAATGCCTGCCTCCAAGACCACCATCTTCACTATATCCTCCCTTGCCAAAGGACAAGTTGAGTCTACCTACACCTAGTATTTATTTGGAAAATAAACGTGATGCTTTCTTTCCTCCATTACATCAATTTTGTACAAATCCAAACAACCCTGTCACAGTAATACACGGCCTTGCTGGAGCTCTTACGTTAGACCTGGGACTCTTCTCTACTAAAACTTTGGTGGAAGCCAACAGTGAACATATGGTAGAAGTAAGGACACAGTTGTTGCAACCAGCAGATGAAAACTGGGATCCCACTGCAGGGAAGAAAATGTGGCATTGTGAAAGTAACAGATCTCACACTACAACTGCTACACATGCACAGCATCAGGCCTCTTCATTCCAGGAATCATTGAGAAGAAAATGAGAGAAGTCACCATAAAGATTATTCAGATAGTGAATCTACATCTTCAGATAATTCTGGGAGAAGGAAAGGACCCTTTAAAACCATAAAGTTTGGGACCAACACTGACCTGTCTGATGACAAAAAGTGGAAGTTGCAGCTACATGAGCTGGCTAAACTTCCTGCATTTGTGTGTGTCGTATCAGCAGGAAATCTTCTAAGCCACGTTGGTCATACCATACTGGGCATGAACACAGCTCAACTATACATGGAAGTTCCAGGCAGCAGAACACCAGCTCCTCAAGAAAATAACAGCTTCTATTCATTTAACATAAATATTGGCCCAGGTGACTGTGAATGGTTTGTTACTAGGGTGTTCTGAATGACTTCTGTGAAAAAAAAAAAAATTTTTTTTTTGAATTTCCTAATGGGCTCTTGGTGGCCCAACTATGAAGATCTTTATGAAGCAAATGTACCAGTATTTAGGTTTATTCAGCGACCTGGAGATCTGGTGTGGATAAATGCAGGCACTGTGCACTGGGTTCAGGCTATTGGCTGGTGTACAACATTGCTTGGAATGTTGGCCCACTTACAGCCTGCCAGTATAAACTGGCAGTGGGACAGTGTGAATGGAACACACTGCAAAGTGTGAAGTCAGTAGTACCCATGGTTCACCTTTTCTGGAATATGGCACGAAATATCAAGGTCTCAGATCCAAAGCTTTTTGAAATGATTAAGTATTGTCTTCTAAGAACTCTGAAGCAAGGTCAGACATTGAGGGAAGCTCTCATTGCTGCAGGAAAAGAAATTATATGGCATGGGCGGACAAAAGAAGAACCAGCTCACTACAGAAGTATTTGTGAGGTGGAGGTTTTTGATCTGCTTTTTGTCACTAATGAGAGTAATTCTCAAAAGACCTACATAGTACATTGCCAAGATTGTGCATGAGAAACAAGAGGAAACCTGGAAAATTTTGTGGTGCTAGAACAGTACAAAATGGAGGACCTGATGCAAGCCTGTGACCAGTTTACATTAGCTCCTCCATCACTGTCCACCTCGTCTTGATACAGTTCTCTGGACTTTACATACGAGACCATTTCTGCTATTCAGGAAGTTACCCAGTTCTGCACCACTGTTTTTGTAGCTATCTCCTAAGGCTGCTGGCTGCAAACTGTGTCTATGCAACCTTCTAAGTGCGGACTGTCAGCCAAGTGGATCGGGGAGAGAAGCACTCGTACGCCAGGACTCTCACAAAGGGAATCAGCCTAACTTCAGAGAAAACAATAGTAATTTCCATGTTTTGTATGTATCTGACAAAACTGGCAACATCATACAGACTACTGACTTGAAGACAACCTCTTTTATATTTCTCTATTTCTGGGCTGATGAATTTGTTTTCATCTTTTTCCCCTTCAGAATTTTCCTTGGAAAACATACTAGCCTAGCTGGTCATTTCTTTGTAAAGTAGTTAGCAATTTTAAGTTCTTTGGTCAACTTTTTTTTTTTTAACGTGAAATTTAGGTAAGAAACTTTTTTACTGCTTTTATGTTTTTCTGTCTTGTTTTAAAACCATAATGGCTACACTTTTGGTTCCTAAATAAAACATTAAAAAAAATTAACAGCCAAGTCACAAAGATAATGGATTGCACATAGACTAAGGAATAAACTTCAGATGTGTGATTTTTGTTTCTAATCTTGATGTAAATTTACACTATTTATAAATACATACTTATTGCTTGAAAATATTTTTTAAAACTGCTGAATCAATTCTAGAAACCTAATAAATACATTTTAGTAACTACTGCACAAAGAGTATCTGATATACATAACGATCATATTCATCATAGGGAATTTTGATTCCTTTTTCCCTACCTCCTCCCTTCAACCCATCTTCCTGTCCCTATTTACAAAGTTTTGTTTCCATTTATCCTTTTTTTCTTTTTCCCTTCATTTTTTTTCCCTTCTCCCACCCTAGTTTCCCTTTCTTTTTTTTTTTTTTGATTTTTAATTTTTTTTTAATTTTAAAAATAAAAGGAAAACATTAACAGATAGACAACCTTTTACAAAATAGCAAAGAACAGTACAGACAATACAGAGTTACAAACAAAGTGGTAGGAAATTAACAATTCTTGTATTACATATTGAAACACCATATTCCCTTTCCTTTTGAACAATTTTTTCCCATTTCACAGTATCTATTGTACCTTCTAGTTCTTATTTACTCTTTCAGTTTCTCACTCCAAGGAGACAATGTGATGTTTACACGAGTCCGATTTATTTCACTTGAGTATGGTCTTAAGGTGCATCCATTTACCTAGAAATGCTACAAGTTTATCCTTCTTTATGGCAGAGGAGTACTCCATTATATAAAAACCTCTACATCTTCTTTATCCGTTGCTTGACTGATGGGCTTTTGGGCTGTTTCCAAGATTTAACTATTATAAATTGTGCTGCTATAAACATGGGGTATGATATTTTTAACTTCTGGGAAGATACCCAGAAGGGGGATAGCTGGGTTGAATGGGACCTCTAATCCTAGCTTTCTGAGGAACCTCTACACTTACTTCCACAGTGGTTGCACCAATCTACATTATCACCAACAGTGGAGAAGAGCTCCTTTTTCCCCACGGCCCTGCCAGCATTTGTTATTGGTTGATTTCTTGATGACAGCCATTCTTTCTGGAGTGAGATGGAATCTCAGCATTGTTTTAATTTGCATCTCTTGAATGATCAATGCCATTGAACATTTTTTCTTTTTTGAAGGGAGTACTGGCAATCGAACTGAGGACCTTGCGCTTGCCAGGCAGGCACTGTGCCATAAGCTATATCCCTGGCCCTTTTTCATATATTTATTTGCCATTTGTATTTCTTCATCTGAGAAGTGCACATTCATCTCAGATGCAAATTTTTGGATTGGGTCTTTAAATTGGGTGGGAGTCTAATTTTTTTTTCCAGCTCTTTACATGTTTTAGATGTAAGGCCTTTCTCTGGAGGGCAACTGGCTAAAATTTTTTTCCACTCTGTCGATTGCCTGGCCTGGCCTAGTTTTCTGATCGTCTGTGACTTACATGCTCCTGAAGTCACTGTTTCTGTCATCTTACCTGCCTCGCTGGCACACCTGAACACGAGCTCCCACGTGGCGCATGCCCTCCTCTCAGCTCTTTACCTGGCCCCACTGAGATGTGTCCCCTCTCCGCTTTTGCCAATGTCTGACTGCTAACAGCTGGGAGAATCTGGGGTTCCTCTGACATCTTTTTTAAAAAATTGATTGGGTCTATCGGTACAATTTAGGTATATCCAACAAGCACATTCATCAAAGGGCTTGTGTCCCTTACATAATATACCCAGAGTTCCTTTTCCCTTCCCATTGTCCTCCCCGCCCCCTTCAACCCCTCTTCCCTTCCTTACTTACAAACCTTTGTTTCCATTTTAGCCTTCTTTTCTCATTTCTTTCTTTTTGCTTACATCTTCTTCTTAAACATGCTTCCTTGGCAGCTGCGTCTAGCTGAGTGGTTTTGAATGCCACATCCACCTTAACTTCTCCATCTGCCTCTGCAGCCCAGCCCTCCCTCCATCTCCACGCTGTTCTCCCATTGCTCAGCCAGGACTGCGGAGTCACCCTCAGCTCTATCTCGCAGCTGCACACAGAACCCAGGGCAAACCCTGTGGGCTCCTTC